CTCGTTGTCCTCTAATTTGTTATTGAGATTATTGACTGTATTAAAAACTAGTAATAGATGCTGTTTATTTGCATTTGTTGGAGTTTTATGGACAGAGGTAGGGTTAGAAATGCAGGACTTAGCAAATTTTGATTTTGAAAAAGTATTGTTCATTGGTTACAGTTCTTTTTAAAGAATAGTATAGAAATCGTCCAAATCCTTTTAAATGTCCCGAAGAAGAATCTGGGATCCTGTATGTATGATGTGAATATTTTGGATATTTAAATGTCCAACAGTCAAAACCCTGTCCTAACTTGAAATTCTATTCCATTATCGACATGTTAAGAGAAGAAGCCCTTCTAGGTTTATGTCTAGATTACCTCATTACATACATAATTCTGACTGAGAAGAGGATCGATAGCATAACATCAACAAATATAGAGCTGAGAAAGAAAGTGGAACACCTCATCAATGCGAATCAGGATTTTTTGAAAGGATTTGAGGGTAGGTAATCATATTCTCCTTCTGGAACACCTACGAGTATGCTAACATATCGATATATAATCCGTTATCATATAAAATGTTACCTAATCTTGTCATTACTGCAAATGAATATGCATCATGAATTTTTTTTTAAATGAAATGCAGCATAATTTTCTGAAAATTGAAATTATAAAAGTATTTGAGGATGAAATTTATTTTTTTCTTTGGGGAAGTAAAGTCCATAAAATAAAAAGAAATACTATAATTCAAGACTACAAGGATGGTGGCCTTAGTATGGTTGATTATTCAGAGTTTATAATAGCATTAAAATCAAGTTGGAGAAGAAGATTAATTCACTCTGATTCTAAGTGGGTAAAGTTATTTCAATCACAAATAAACACAGATATTAAAAATCTTTGGTTAATGGGTACAGACTTTACTGCTAAATTATGTAAGAAAATAACAAACACTTTTTGGGTAGATGTCCTTAAAAGCTGGCTGAAAATATGCTTTGCAGAGCAAGAGAAAAATAAAAAAAATATTCCAAGAACATATATGGTATAATCCAAAAATAATCATGGGTGAGTCTTCTGTCTTTCTTAAAAGCTACTTTAATGCTGGTTTTGTTTTCATAAGTGACCTGTTCAACTTAGATAATAATTTCTTAAGTTTAAACGCTTTTAAAGATCTTGGTGTAAAAACAAATTTTGTTGAATTTTCTGGCTTGAAGCAGGCTGTGTGTGATAGATTTATTAGCAAAAACCAAATGAATATATTTCTTTCTTATGGTCCAAATTAACCCAGTTCTGTGAAGATGTTTTACATTAATATGAAAGGCTGTAAAGACATGTATGACATTCTTATTAATAGAAAGAAGGAAACAAGTACTTCCATTTTAAAATGGAATGAAAAGGGATATCTATTCACCATGCAAGAATGGAGTAAAATTTTTGAACTCCCATTTAAAATTACACAAGAATCTAAACTGCAGTGGCTACAATTTCAAATTTTACATAGAATAGTTCCTACAAATTTATATCTTTTTAAACTTAAGATAAAAGAATCTCCAGCATGCAGTTTCTGTAAGACTGACATTGAGTCAATTGAACATCTTTTTGTTGAATGTAATAAGAGCTTTGGAGTGATATTGAAGAATGGTTTTTATGTAAGTTTAATATATCTGTAATTTTTGACAGAACAACAATATTATTTGGCAAACATAAGAATAAGGAAGTCCATAAAGTGCAAAATTTGATGACACTGATAACTAAGAATTATATTTTTTCAACTAAATATAAAAATCCTTCTGTTCTAAGTATAATGACTTTAAAAACAATTATTGTGGAAAGATTCTTGTTTTGGGAAATTTTTACTTTTGAAACAATGTAGATATACAGAGTATGAGAATAACTGGCAGAGCATCTGTGATATGATATGATTCATATGTACAAGTCTACATATAAATATGTATTTAAGAATTTTTGAAAGATACAAAATCTTAATCTTTATACCTCACCCCCTTAATGTAAAGAAGAAAAAAAAAACAACACTATGCACCCTATATATTTTTATGTTTTTGATTTTCTCTTTTTGATGTTCTTTTCTCTCTCCTTCTCCCTCTTTCTTCTTCTCCTCCTTTTTCTATCCTATATTAAAACATCTTTCACATGTGTTTAATCAAATGTGAACTTGTGTAGGTGGATGTCTTTCTGTAAATTTAATACTTGTATACCTATTTATAATAGATACTTGAAGGAAGATATATTTGTGAACATACTTTTGTATATACTTGTTTGATATAAATGTGAAAGTTAAAATAAAAAAAAAAGAAAAAAAATTGAAATGAAAGAAGGTGGCGTTCTATGTGCACATAAATTTCTATAAGACGGGGGTCGTATTGTCAAAATCATAGCTGATTAAACTCCTCAAGTTCAAACATGACGATTATCAAAAAGACACGTTTTATTTCTTAAAAAATTAAATGTGCAGTTAAAACAATATATTATTAATCTTAACATGGAATTCTTATTGAATCACTTATCTGCTATTCTTATTAACAACAGTATAGTCACAATTTTTTTTCCTGTTGTCAAATACAATGATTTTTTTTCTATCATACTGATTTCGCTATCGGTACTTCATTGTTTTAGACTCGTCAAAGAAGGTTGCCTTTACAGCTGGTTCAACAGGTGCTGGAGGAATCGGAAGCGAAAGTACACTAGTATTTCCTGTGGTCATCAATAACGCTGGAGGTGGATACGACCCAGGTACAGGGATCTTTACCGCCCCCACGGCCGGACAGTATGTTTTCTATATCAGTGCTCAGGGGTATAGCAGTGACACATTGTATGTATCTATTGTACATAATGGAGGAGCCAATGTAATGACAATGTCAGACGGAGGACGGCGTAAAGATTTCTACGATTCTGGATCGAACTTGGTGACGCTGAATCTCCAACAAGGAGACAGGGTGTGGGCAAGGTGTCAAAGTGGGTCAAATTATTACAGCGAGGGAATACCCATTACAACGTTTTCCGATTTTCTAGTTTAATAAATCTCTTTGTGTCCAGTGCATATCAGAACAATCTGTCCTTAGTGGGAGAAGGACATTTGCCAGACTTCGAGAAACTTTTAAGAGCAAATTTGCAGTAAAATAAAGTACTACGTGTATAGATTTTGAATGCCATTTAGCCTTGGTTTGTTAATTCGGTTGGCGACGAAGCATATTGTACAAAACGTGTGCATAAATGATGATAAACTAGATACTCGCTCGTCAATTAAGAAATTCCCGTTTCCAAAAATCAGAGGTTATAAACTACATGACGCTTCACGCCTGCATATTTCACGAAGCGCTTTGTAGTACATGTTCCTCATGAACTTTCAAAAATGAAATTCATACCTGATATTTAAATTATTTACAACACATTGTATTACTTGCCACAACACATCATGAACTATCATTAAAAAAAAAAACCCCAGTTTTAACCAAGTCAGCAACAAAATATGCTAGTTCATGAGAAACGATCATATTTGTACTTTATATGGAGAAATTAGGGGGAAACACGAATTTTGAAAGTTAGATATCAAAGACTGAAAGTAATATACAAACATGTACCTGAATACATGCACGTAACGATCTGTTTGACAGATTGTTTTCGATTACATCCTCTTCAATAAAAATGATCTCGTAAATATAATGACATTGTCAGTGTTATTTGCAAAATTATTTTGTTGAAGGTCACTCTGATTGTACACACCAAGTACTCTGGAGCTGACGTTAAAAATTGCTTGAGTTTCTGATTGTCAATGTCTAGGTAGTTTTTGGAGATCAGATCTTCTAGAGATCTATTGAAATTACCATGAATATCAATTACGCTGAATTGTTAGTAGATCTAGACCTATTTTTGTATTCATATGAAGCAAAATTGAGTTGTTTTTATTTGGATATTTTATTATGAAAAGAAGTTACTGATTAGCTAACAATAACGCCTTATAATAAACGTGATGACTTACTTTTCAGTCGTCAGATTCCCTTACTTATGTAGCAATATATCCTTATTACATACATATGGGATCCGTGTCTTTCGGTTGATCGATACGCAAGAAAATGCTGTAAATATGAGCAATCTTTTATAACGGAGTTAGTCATTGACAAACAAGTTGATGAAACAAGGATATCAGCAGTCTCGTTTAAAGTCTTCATTTTGCAAATTCTGTGGTCGATACATTTACCTTGTCAGCAAATAGAATCTATCATGAAAACAAATGATGACTGACTACTTACATATTAACTGTAAGGCCATTATTTACAAAATGAATTGTCTCCCCCCCCCTGCTCTGTCTGAATGTCCACTTTATAACGAAATTTTGAATTATTTTTTTAAGCTCAAAGCAAACAGGATGGTGTTAGCAGATGGAAGGCAATGAAGGGAATTATAAAAGGAATATTTGTAAAGAATAAATCATGAACAAAGGAGAAATTACTAGATTGTTATGAATCCTAAAATGAATGTTGTCGACTATAAGTAATTCACTGCTTTTTCTGCAGGAAGAATACATGTAGGTTTATATAGAAGGCTTGAAAAGAGACTGCAAAATAACATTTAACAAAATTATCAAGGCCTTTTTAAAAAAGTATATTGTGAGCACATTTTAAGGCATTAGTTTTTTCCTTAACCACTTTGACCTGGAAGTAGACGTTTTTCAAATGCTAAAGGTACTAAGGCTTATGCAATGAATCAAAAAACCAGTCATATATTTAAGGATTATTTTCCTTTTTTCTATAAAATGAAAATACATCCATCCTCACCCCATATAAAATAAAATGTTTTTTTTTAAATCGATAAAAATATAAACATATTTAATAGTTAAGAAAAAAGTCGTGATGGATGCTTTTTCTACTGACATAAACGTACATTTCGATATTCTTCAATTTGATTTTACTTTTATAAGAATTTCTTTTAACTTTATAATAAAAAAGAGCAAAAACATTAAAGAGGAAGTTAACTTACATCAATAAGAGTCGAAAACAGTTTGAATATTTGCCAACTCATGTTTTAACGAATTTAACGATTTGCGCATGTGTCATGCAATAGAAAAGGTCAAAGTTTATATGCAAATGTATATAAGGCTGAATATTCTCTTGGAACGCTATCACTTCTCTGATTTTCAAGATGAAGCAAGCACTGCTGTTTACGTTATTGTTTGCTTTTCTCATTCAAATAAATGGATTGTCCATATTCACGGACAGCAGTGGCAACAGTTCATCTCTATTGGACATCAATGATCCGGAATCCAAAAATACAGACGTGTTCCGACAGTTACTGAACCAAGAAACAATCATCAGAATGTCACTGGTGAAGAACGTACACGCCTTAATGAAGGATATGCTGGATCTGAAAAAAAGTATGGCGACAATGGAAACATCCCAACAGAAAACAGATGTAGAAGTGGCCACCTTAAAACAGGAGGTTGATAAACTGAAAAGAGAAAACCAAAGACTTGAGCTTGAAAATAGGCGCTATGAAGAAACTTTCAGAGCTGTTACAGAAAATTTCACCAAAGTCGACGAACACATTCAACAGGTAATGGAAGAGTTGGAGGAGAAAAGAGAACGTTTTGAGACAAACACAAGTGCAGTCCTGGCGGATCTTAAAGTAGAAGTTCGGTACCTGTCAGTGACCCTTCTGGACTTAAATAAACACACTTTGGAAATTGACAAGAAATTTCCTGAAATGATGCAAGAAAAATTTAAACAATTATCTTTGAGATTGAACACTTCTGTGGAGAACCTGAACAATGATATAATAACAACAAATAAAACAATGCTCCAATCGGTGTCTGACCTCGAAAACTCACAAAATATGATACAAAATTCCATATCTGGTAAGTATTTTTTTTTTGCTTTGTGGAAATCCTTAAAATATAGAATTGCATCTTATTGGACAAAAGAATTGCATATTGAGTACATTTTCACGAACTATTGAGAATGATGTTCTCTCAAGGTTTTAGGATTCAGAAACGGGTTGCTATTAAGTACAATATATTTAAAAAAATTTCAAAACGAAGAGAAAAACAATTTAAGTATATTAATATTCAAAGTAAATTTTAACTTTATTCTAGGTTCGATGATCACAGAGAATATTTAGTATTAAATGTACAAATTCAAATTCAACTAGGGCTAATTGTAACGGGGACCGTTACAGATGTTCCCCAAACGCTCTCCATGTCCCTTTTCGTGCCATAGCTTTTCCTGTAAGACTTTTTATAAATATACTAAGTATTTAAGGATTTCTTTGAAAGATATAAAAGTTACAATGATATCAACTATATTTCGTTTAACGTTTTGCATGGGCGCACACGTACATGTACATGCATATGCAAGATGATCATGGCATGTTGGTTAAGCGATTATCACATCTTTCTATCCCGCGAATAATAGAAAAAGTACAGATATAAAGTTATCACATTTCAAGTATATCATTTTATGAAATACCTATTCACATTTAAATTCTCTACTGATTTTAACCTCGGGCTCAAAGTTGGTCTTATTCCGACGACAAAGCAGTGTTAAAGTCGACTAAGGATATCACGCCGATGGGTAACCAATCAAAATGAACTTAGTCAATTTTAGTTCCATACATAGAAAAGGGATTTTCCATTAATCTGTTCAGATTTTTTAAAATATATTTCCTCTCTGGTAATTTTGACAACTCCGGTACCTGTGCTTAGTAAATTTTATATGCTATGTAAATAAATATATACATGTAAAGGATTTTGACCGGAACTATTCATTTTTTCCAATGCATAGGAGGCTACTTTCTAGGGTTTACAATAGATATTTATAAAGACATTCGTATCAGCTAATGTGACCAATATTCTTTAAGACTTCATATTAATATTGTTCATGAATGCAAATACCTGATATTTTTTTTTTACGAAGGAGCGTACATGTATATTGATTTTGAATTTCTGGGGATTCCAAAAAATTCTTAAAAAAAATCAATTAAATTTCAAAGTTTAAATAAACAAAGGATGCTTGGTATTAAAATATTGTTTCAAATCAGTAGAATTGAATGCTATCAACGACATCCGAATAAATACATGTAAACAAAGAAGGCTTATATACCAACTTTGTTCATCTGTACTTTAATTTCAAACACGACAGGATTTGTAATTAATTCAATTAATAATTTCTATATTCTTTGGAAACTCACATCAAATATTTTAATACTCTTTCCTCGAGCTCTTTTCTGCAGTTTCCTTGAAATGTTATGTGGGTCCGAGGTGTAATTTGAGCTTTACAGCGATTCTCTACTTTGTGTGAGGGGGGGGGGGTCTTTCTACCCTTGGGTTAAGGTCAAAGGTTAAGGTCGATTTCAAGTTCATAGGTCAAGGTCATTTTGGTAATTAGCTAATATCAACATTTTATTCAGGTTACTAGTGACCTTGACCTAAGTATCAAGGTCAAGGGTAAAAAGATCTGCTTCAGTATGTTACATGTCTTTACATTTATAAGTTTTTAATTCTGCATGAACACCAAAAGACTTAAGTATACTGTCGTTTAACGCATTGTGTGTGCGCGCATGTGCATGACGTACTTGCATTTACTTTTGATGGTAGAATAATGTAGGCATTCATTATATCTATTCATATTCGAAATTTCACCCTTTATTATTGAGAACTAAGAAAGTTTTAGGCATTTAAACTTTTAGCCGATCAGATTGCAGCTAACGTGCATGTGCTTGCGTTCATGATTATTCTTATATATCATGCTGTAGATCTTCATAATGTATGACTATTTTCAAAATTTGAAAGGATTTTGTCAGAAAACAAAAAAGATATAAAGACTTTTGTTTCAACCAATCGGAACGAAGCGCACGTTCATGCGCGTGAGATCTTGCTATTTTGACCATGTCATCATGTCTATACTACTATTATATCCTTATATTATGAGTTTCAAAGCATTTCATCAAAAATTTAAAAGGTTACGGCTATATCTATCATATTGGTCATTTCACGCGTTACACGTGTGCGCACATGCACGCACGTGCGCGCAAAATGACCTTCGTTCCGCACATCTACATAACATACCTAGTGACCCTAAAAAGGTTTCACCTAGATCAGATGAGTAGTTTACGAGAACACTCGCGGACAAAAAAAGTACCGGAGAAGAAAATTCAGAAAAAAAGTAAAAACAATATGTTCCCAAACTCCGTTTGGGGAACATAATAAGGAGACTAATTGTTCAGATTACAATTTTGATTTTAATTCAGCTAACAATATGAAGCCTTTTCACCTTCTTGAGTGTTTTCATATCATTGGGCTTCAAGAAAAGAAGTACAAAGCAAAACAATGAATAAAACAGCAAAATTCTAATTTTCTACTACCGTGTTTTTAAGATCGGGCTCGGAGTTGGTTTTATTCAATTTTAGTTCCATACATAGAAAAGGGATTTTCCTTTAATCTGTTCAGATTTTTTAAAATATATTTCCTCTCTGGTAATTTTGACAACTCTGGTACCTGTGCCTAGTAAATTTTATATACTATGTAAATAAATATATACATGTAAAGGATTTTGACGGGAACTATTCATTTTTTCCAATGCATAGGAGGCTACTTTCTAGGATTTACAATTGATATTTATAAACACATTCGTATCAGCTAATGTGACCAATATTCTTTAAGACCTTCATATTAATATTGTTCATGAATGCAAATACCTGATATTTTTTTTTTACGAAGGAGCGTACATGTATATTGATTTTGAATTTCTGGGGATTGCGTAATTCTAAAAAATAAATAAATTAAATTTCAAAGTTTAAATAAACAAAGGATGCTTGGTATTAAAATATTGTTTCAAATCAGTAGAATTGAATGCTATTAACGACATCCGAATAAATACATGTAAACAAAGAAGGCTTATATACCAACTTTGTTCATCTGTACTTTAATTTCAAACACGACAGGATTTGTAATTAATTCAATTAATAATTTCTATATTCTTTGGAAACTCACATCAAATATTTTAATACTCTTTCCTCGAGCTCTTTTCTGCAGTTTCCTTGAAATGTTATGGGGTCCGAGGTGTAATTTGAGCTTTACAGCGATTCTCTACTTTGTGTGAGGGGGGGTGGGGGGTGTCTTTCTACCCTTGGGTTAAGGTCAAAGGTTAAGGTCGATTTCAAGTTCATAGGTCAAGGTCATTTTGGTAATTAGCTAATATCAACATTTTATTCAGGTTACTAGTGACCTTGTCCTAAGTATCAAGGTCAAGGGTAAAAAGATCTGCTTCAGTATGTTACATGTCTTTACATTTATAAGTTCTTAATTCTGCATGAACATCAAAAGACTTAAGTATACTGTCGTTTAACGCATTGTGTGTGCGCGCATGTGCATGACGTACTTGCATTTACTTTTGATGGTAGAATAATGTAGGCATTCATTATATCTATTCATATTCGAAATTTCACCCTTTATTATTGAGAACTAAGAAAGTTTTAGGCATTTAAACTTTTAGCCGATCAGATTGCAGCTAACGTGCATGTGCTTGCGTTCATGATTATTCTTATATATCATGCTGTAGATCTTCATAATGTATGACTATTTTCAAAATTTTAAAGGATTTTGTCAGAAAACAAAAAAGATACAAAGACTTTTGTTTCAACCAATCGGAACGAAGCGCACGTTCATGCGCGTGAGATCTTGCTATTTTGACCATGTCATCATGTCTATACTATTATTATATCCTTATATTATGAGTTTCAAAGCATTTCATCAAAAATTTAAAAGGTTACGGCTGTATCTATCATATTGGTCATTTCACGCGTTACACGTATGCGCACATGCACGCACGTGCGCGCAAAATGACCTTCGTTCCGCACATCTACATAACATACCTAGTGACCCTAAAAAGGTTTCACCTAGATCGGATGAGTAGTTTACGAGAACACTCGCGGACAAAAAAAAGTACCGGAGAAGAAAATTCAGAAAAAAAGTAAAAACAATATGTTCCCCAACTTCGTTTGGGGAACATAACTAGTAGTGTTTACAAATGCAGAATCATCTATGAATGTGTTGATGTAATCCGTTCTTAAAGTTTTACAAATCAGCAGTTAAGGAGGATGGGGGGGGGGGGGTCAACAAATTAATTCCAAATTAACCACCAGATTTAACTTATATTTTTAGATACGGTATCTTGAGCTGTGAACTATCATTTGGCAAAGAAAAAATTCATAAATTTTAGTTTTAAAATTTGATCATTTTTGTATATCTTTGTATGGAGCTCTTCTTTTAAAGGAGATCAAAATAGTCTAAAAATGGCTGCCACCCCAGCCTCTTTAAGTCGTGCAATGTGTGCACACCTATATCTTTGCTTCAGAAACAGACATAATAGATAATCATTATACAGATATAAGGACAATTTTTTATTCTCAAGTATATTTTAAGGGAACGTCTACTTTTAAAATATTGCTTTTAGGCTTGTCTCACATTAAGAAAAAAAATTACATATGTATTGCACGAAAAATTTCTTTCAAGCTTCATTTTAATCATTCTTAAATATTCTATTGCCATTATTTTCTTTTAAAATATTTTATTGGAAAAAATACAGTGTAGTATTGTTGATTTATTTATATATGACGAAAAATATATTCTTCTCACATTTTAATTTCAGTGAACATCAGTAAAACATTAGATGACATGATGGCGGAGGTGAAACAATCTAAGTATGATCAACTGCAGCTGTCTTCTTCTGTGTCCTCTCTCGAGGTGTTCCGAATGAATTTGACGAATAACCTATTAGGTATCAGCTCAAAATAAATAAGAAAACAGTAAGAAGTAACACTATTCGAGGCAAAACTCTGCGATTGGTAGCTTCATAACCTATATTTTTATGTTCTAATTCCATTCTGCAAAAATTAATAGTTGGCATTTAAAGTTTTATGCATTAACTTTTGCAAAAAGTAAAATCTAGGACCTCAACATGTCCAAGTTTTGATTTATCATGCATATATCATAATTCCTTGGATCTTCTTTAATCTTCAATATGTTACTTTAAAAAAAATACTAACCAAATAATATTTGTAGATAAACCAAAGAAGGTAGCTTTCTCCGCTTCAGTGAGGTCATCCAGCTCATCATGGAACAGTGGAGCACTGGTTTTTTCTTCTGTCATCACAAATGAAGGAAATGGATACAATCCCAGTAACGGGATATTTACTGCTCCTATCGGAGGAATGTTCGTCTTCTTTGTGAATGTTCAAACCTACGGTTCAAAAGATATTTATGTAGACATTGTGTTGAATGGATCAAGAAAAGTCAGAACAATGGCCTATGGTTCAAGTGGTAGTTACAGTGCAGGTCCAAATATGGTGGTGCTGACTTTGCAGAGGAGAGACGCAGTGTGGGTCAAACATTACCATGGTTCAGGCTATTACTACGATGGTCCTATTACCACCTTCTCCGGCTTTCTTATAGACATGTAATTAAATCTGAAAAAGGTGCATACTATGAACATTACATATCTATGTTCCTTTACAAAATTAATAATCTATGTCGCAGATCTATGAAAATAGCCGACAATTAAGAAGAAACTTAACATTGATAACCTACACGATTCGTTTGACAATTACTAGTAATTTTGCTTTTAACTGTTTAATATGGAAAGTAAAATATTTACAGGGTAGATGTATAGGGAGAAGTAATGAAAATATATAAAATTTAATTGTATGTTATCTGTAGAATGGATTGGGTAAAACTGATCAGTTCATGGATTCTATTTTAAAATGCTAGGAAAAATATAAACAATTGTAATCTTCTAATTGATACAAATACGTATTTTTATCAATTTAAGACTAGCATAAACATTTTAAACAACTTTTTTAATTGTAAATCCTACCACCAATTTTCTGTTGTGGGACAAACTTTTTACACATATTTTGAAGTTGATCTTTTTTATGATTCTGTTTGAATACTTTTATCAGCGACATTGTTTGCTTTATGTATTGTCGTAATTTTTTTTCTTTTGCTTGTAATTTCTAATAAAAGTATGTAATTATTAACTTTCTAAATTTCTGTTGTTTGAAGCTGAAGTGATATGCATTGTAAATACCAAACTGTAAAACTATTTGTGACTTTTATATGATTTGGTCGACAATTAGCTCTAGAGAGCTAAAATTATTATATTTTTTCTTTCAATAAAGATTTTTAAGTTCTTCTATTCATTGATAACTGAGAATCAAACTTCTGACACAATGCCAAATAGGACATCATTGAAATACATGTTTGTTGTTTGTCTTTTATTTTCGTTTTCTTAGGGAATATTCCATTAAAACTTCAGATATGATATTTTTTATACCCCGTAATCGAAGATTCGGGGTTACTTAGTATATGGATTGTAGCTCACCTGAGCCGAAGGCTCAAGTGAGCTTTTCTGATCACATTTTGTCCGGCGTCTGTCTGTCTGTCTGTCTGTCTGTCCGTCTGTCTGTCCGTAAACTTTTCATATTTTCGACTTCTTCTCAAGAACCGCTTGGCCAATTTCAACCAAACGTGCCACAAAACATCCTTGGGTGAGGGGAATCAAGTTTGTTCAAATGAAGGGCCACACCCTCATTCAAGGGGAGATAATTGAGAATTAAGTAAAATCTGGTGGGATGTTTTAAAAATCTTCTTCTCAAGAACCACTGTGCTAGGAAGGATGAAACTTAAAGGGAAGCATCCTTAGGTTGTGCGTGACCAAAATGGCCAACCAAAGTTTTACATTGAAAAATGTAGGAAAATTCTTTAGAAATCTTCTTCTCAAGAATGACAAAGCCATAATTCATTATATTTATATGGAAGCATGCTCGGGTAGTGTAGATTCCATTTTGTTCATATCATGACCGCCGGGGGTAGGGCGGGGCCAAAATGGCCGACCAAAGTTTTACGAAGAAATATTTTGGACAAGAGGCCCAGGGACAACATCGCTCACACCTAAGCAAATCGGCTAGGGAAAAGCACAAATCAGATAAGACCCGAAAAGTTTACTGACAGGGGGGGGGGGTGGGGGGTGGGGGGGCTTGAATTTTAATACTACTTGGGAATGTTTTCATATTAATACAGCATATGACTTTGCTGTTCTTGATAAAAAGATTTTTTAAAATCATTTTCTTCCTATATATATAACTTCACAATAATTTGAATTTCATTCCTCATTGTTTCCCTTCTTGCCCAAAGGGCCATGATTTGAATAAATTTATATCTTTAATACATGAGGATGCATACATGTCAATATGACAAAAGATAACTTTTCTGTTCTTGGGATTTTTCCCTTTATTTTTTTTTATGTAAAACTTTGATCTATCATTGCGGTCGAACCCTACCCTTGGGGTTATGATTTGTACAAATTTAATTCTACACTACCTAAAAATGCTAAAAATTCCATATAAATACTAGTATCACTAATCATGGCTTTGTTATTCTTGAGAGGAAGATTTTTAAAAATATATTTTAGTGTAAATTTAAACTTGGATCCCCCATTGTGGCCTCATCCTATCCCCGGGGGTTATGATTTGAACAAACTAGAGTCTACACCCCCTGAGGATGCTGGCTTTGAAGTATTTGAGAAGAGGATTTTAAAAGATTTCCCCATCTAGTCCTATGTAAAACTTTGATCAGCCATTTTGGCCCCACACTATCCCCGGGGGTCATGATTTGAACAAACTTGAATCTACACTATCTGAGGATGCTTGCACATGAGTTTCATCTTTCTGGGCCCAGTGGTTCTTAGAAAGATTTGTTAAGGATTTTCCCTACATGTATAATTTATACTCCTATGTAAAACTTTGATCTACCAATGTGGCCCCACCCTACCCCCGGGGGTTCATAATTTGAACAGACTTGAATCTACACTACCTGAGAATGCTTCCACATGAGTTTCATCTTTCTGGGCCCCGTGGTTCTGGAGAAGAAGATTGTTTAAAAATACCATTAATTTTTCACTAATTCATAATTATCTCCCCTTGGAAGAGGGTGTTGCCCTTCATTTTAACAAAATTGAATTCCCTTTACCTTAGGATACTTTATGGCAAGTTTGGTTGAAATTGTCCCAGTGGTTCTTGAGAAGAAGATGAAAATGTGAAGGGTTAAAACGACAACGAAAGACAACGGACAAATTTTGATCAGAAAACCTCACTTGAACCTTCGGCTCAGATGAGCTGAAAATTCTTTAAAAATCTTCTTCTCAAGAATAACAAAGCTTTAATTCATCATATTTATATTATGGAAACATCTTCAGGTAGTGTAGATTCCATTTTGTTCAAATCAAGACCCACGGGGGTATGGCAGGGCCAAAAAAGCCGACCAATGTTTTACATTGAAATTTATAGGATTTTTAAAAAAAAAATCTTCCAAGAATAGCAAAGCCAGAATTGATCATATTCATATGGAAGCATCCTTTGGTTGTGTAGATTCAAGTTTGTTCAAGTCATGACCCCAGGGGGTAGGGCGGGACCACAATGGCAGACCAAAGTTTTACATAAAAATATATAGAATTTTTTTTAAAAATCATCCTCTCAAGAATAGCAAATCCATGATTGGTCATGGGTCTACAATGCGTTAATCACATATACATGTAGTTGATATCATGGTAGCTTTCACAATTCTTTTTATGAGATCCTGTGATACTGAGCATATTAAAAAAGTCTGAGAGGAAATTGGCACAAAAATGGAGTTGGGGAGCGTTTGGGAAACATCTGTAACGGTCCCCGTTACAATTAAAACTAGTTTCAATTAGGCATAATTAATTAATTTTCAATTGTTATCAATGGAGTCCAGTCCTAACACCAGAGCCCCTGACCCAGAGAACATGATCGAATTTCACTATCTAGAAGGAGCACTCCTTCTTATGGCACCAATGTAATACACTGTACTTTGTCTGCAAAATATACAGTGGGAGAGAAAAGCTTTTCAAAGAACTTCCACTAAATAATCCATAGAACCCCACCCTTACCCAGGAACCCCTGATCATTGGGTCAGGAATATAACAATTTTGGTAGCGGGCTCAATGCTTATTACAATAATGACAACAGTCTGACCGCTGGATGTCCGGGAGTGAAAAACATTTTGATATTGCAAAACGTTTGATGCTTTTAGCTTCACCCCTCAGGCCCAAGGGGGCAGGGGCAATGAAATGAGCAATGGCTGTTCCCTTCTCTGTAATGAATGCTCTATGCCAAAATTGGCTGAAATTGGATGAGCGGTTACAGAGAAGAATTTAAGCTGAAATGAAATAAATTGATAATAACAAACAGTATTTAACATGTTTACAAAGCAGAGCAAACATGAAACTCTAAAACATTAAAGGTTTGATCAGCTGCCATGGAGTAGAGAGCATCCCCGGCCGATAGATCACAACCACCATGTGCTTCTTGTCATTATCGGAAAATATCGGAAAATCCATCGACTCATATAAACCGGGTATGCAGGTGATAAAGGTACATAGACCTGTACATGTATATTTGCTGCATTTCTGATAAGATAACCCGACAGGAAATAGATGTGTCGGAATTTTTGGTATAGTTTATTTCGATCTCACCGGTCTATATATCGTGTCGACATGGGAATGGAAATAATAATTGTTAATTAAATAACGATGCGTCTTTGATAAATGTTGAGTTGAAGACAACAGCAAGTGTTTTTTTTTTCTTACCACGTATACAATTTTGATTAACTGATTCGTTAGCCATAAACAGAAATACGGTAGGTCTGCTTATAAGTGTGTGCACTCGGTACCAATGAGAATTCCAATAGATTGTTGGAAGACCTAGTCTGAAAATCATATATAGATATTGTCAATCAGAAACTCAAGCATCATTTTAATATCAACTTCAGAATACTTGTGCTTATATTTAAGGAAATAATTTTTCCAAATGACCAATAACAAAGTGAGTAAATTTACGAGTTCCAATGTTCAATCGTGAAAGGCGATGCACGATGAAGGACGTAAACAGATAGCAATAGGTCCTCTAAATGAAAGGTGACCTAAAACAACAAATAAAGTAGCAAATAAATTACCGTTGAAAACAATAAAAATGAATAGGTGGTCTCTTTGCACTGCATAGTTTACCCAAAATACAACTTCAATCCAGTGATTAAAACATTCATTTATGTTTAAGATCCTTTGATTTGTAACGAATTGGTATATTTGAAAATAGAAAACTCAAGGAACTGGGGGTGTTAGGATGCATTAAATCAAGAACACATGGTTTACATGTACACAAAAGTAGCAGCCTCCGAATTAAACCATTGGATAGACAATATTTTATTTAACCAATCGTATTTATTCAATTGTTGGACAACAAATTAAGTAGAACTCCAGGGATAGACATATAAGACATTGTATTTGCTCCTTTCTTGTAGACCACATTTATCCTACAGGATACAAGACAGAAGCTTGAAAATATGAATTATTTCCTTAGAATTTGCGTGCTTTGTATTTTGAGTCGAATTTCCATTGCTCTCTCATTCTTGTCGGATCAAGATAATGGAAATTGGTCTCGAGATTTTGTGTCCGATAATGAACCTAAAAATACAGATATTTTTCGCCAGCTTCTTAACCAAGAAACCATTATCCGAATGAATTTAGCGAATAATGTCCAGTCACTGAAGAAAGATATGGCGACATTTAGAGAGTCTATAGGAACAGCAATGGGAAACGTTAAAGACAAAGTTTTGAAATTGGAAGCGACGATAGAGCGTCTCAAAACAGAAAACGAACGGCTTGAGGTTGAATTACAGGACACAAAGGCAAAAGAAGGAAATTTATCTTCATTAGTCGCCATTATTCAGGCATCATTGTCGAATGTTTCAAGTCTTGTACTTGGTAAGTGAATTAAACTGGAATAGTTTCCTGATTTAAGTTTTCTGAAATCAATTTTTTAAATCGATAATTAGTTATCTTTGAACTTAGTAGATGAGGCCTCTTACAGTAAATAAAATGTTCTCCAGATAATTTTTACTAAATATCAGTTTTCTTCCAATCTTCATGTATATTTCACTCCTTTGTTTCGTTATACAAGCAATAAAGGTAACTACATGGATAGGAATGACCCCCCCCCCCAAATGGTTAGACTATTTACGCGGATTGAAGACGTCGATTGTTTGTTTGCTATTTTTCAAGCTTCAGACCGAGAGCTTGTTTTTACTAAAATACGTGTGCTACGATCTCTTAATTCTTGCCTGCATGTTATATCTCTTTACCAAGAAATATCTCTCAACTGTAAAAAAGATACGAGTGTAAGAGATATTTTTGTACAAGAGATATCTCTCCTACAGTCAAAATGAGCTTTTGCTCAAAAGGATCTCATACTGGTAGAGAGATTAACTCTTTGAATGAAATGTGGAAATAACTAATAGTAATCATGCTCAAATGTCCAACTGAATAAAAAATGAAGAGCAGAGCAAACACGGAACCCTGAAAACATCACAGGAGAAATCATTTGCCACGGAGGAGTGAGAATCCTCTATCTACCACACCTGCCTTGAATAAAAGGTTGAA